ACACACACACACACACACACACACACACACACACACACACACACACATACGCACATGCACACATGAACACACGGACGCACACATCGGATGAGAAACTTGAGGATCTAGAGGATTAATCTCTCTGCTTTACAGGTAGAGAAACTGAGGCCCAGGACAGACATACAGCTAAGTAAGAACAGAGCTGGGCCTCAACCACATAGATCTGTCTTGCCTCTCTGAAATCCTTTATGCTTTATCAAGGTCCGTGGCCTGCCAGTCACACACTTCCCGGACTCCTCTCAGGGGCAGCTCTGGAGGCTAGCCTTTATTCAGATGCACTCAGCCACCTCACAGGAGCTGTTATCGGGAAACTGAGGCCCAAGAAAAAGAGTAGCTTAAACAGAACCAGGGTGGATGAGAAGTCAGAACTCTAGTTCCAGCCTTCCACATCCACTTAGGACAAGCAGCAACTGGCACTGGCCTGACTGGTCTCCTGGCGGTTAGGAAGAACAGGCGTTCCCAGTGCCCAGCCCCCTACAGCCTCACCCTAGGGGCTGCACATCCCTGAAGGGTCGTCTAAGTTTGGCAGCGAGGTGGGGTAGGAAGGCCCACACTCCTGGCAGCTGCTGGCGGTTGCAGGGCTATCGACTGAGCCACCCTGAGCTGATGGATCCAGACACTTCCCTGCTCCCACGGGCAACGGACATGAGCCGATACTCCCTGCCGCTTCGCCCGGCTGGTCAGGGCCGCAGTGTTTTCTCCTGAGCTCCGAGTTTTGCTCCTAATTCCAGAAAAACAGCACAAGCCTTACATAAGCACCTTGGCTGGCGGCGTGTCAACCACCCAGGTAGAACAGCACCCTTCTTGGGGTGGCTTGGGGTCTTCCCACCGCTGGGTCAGCCTTGGAGCCCACCACTCCCTCCATCGGCCATCGGTCCAGACAAATGGGACCTCCTGAGTCCCTAGGGGGAGCACTGCCTCCTCCAGGTCTCAGCTCAACGGCTTCTCCCTCTTACTGGCGTGTACTCCCCCTGCCTCCATATCCCTGCTTGTCCTGATTGTCCTGAGCACCTTCTGTGTGTGGGCTCCACGGCTATGCTGGTGAACTTGCAGCAGCCCTCATTCAGCCCTCACAACAGCATAAGGAAAGGGTGCACATTCAATTCACTTCCCTTTATGGCTTTTTCACTAACCCAATCACCCTCCAAACATAGTGTACAACTTTTGTGTATGTATTCTGTGATTTTTTGGGGGGTCTGTCTCCCCAGCTTGCAACAAGACTGTAACTGAGAGCACAGACTGTGACCCGTTACCTTCACAGCTGTAACCCCAGCCCCTGGAACAGTGAGTGACTGGAACATACTAGATGCTCAATAAATATTTGCTAGATCCGTAAACAAAAAGTATTGAAAAGTAAATAAACAAGAGGGCTAAGGTGGGAGTCGTAATAAATCACTTCTTCTCTAAAGGAGGAGCCAGTTAGGAGCAGAACAGCAGGGTTCAAAAGGCACCGCCGGCAATGCTCTGGGGAAAGCACGCTTCAGGCAAAGGGGACGACACGTGCAAAGGCTAGCGCACTTAAGGAAGAGGGAAAAGGAACAAGGCCAGTGTGGCCAGTGGAGCAGGAAAGAGTGAAACTGGAGAGCTCCTGAAGGGAGACGCCAAGTGCAACAAAAGTCACTGGAAGGTTTTAGGCAGCGAGCTGAGCTGTACGTCTAACGCTCAACCTCTGTGGGTAAGAGTTATTCATAAGGGTGAGGGTTAAAAATAGAGAGAGCAAAGAGGGCTGGAGAAACCGGCCTGGGCGGACACAAGCGGGGGTTCTGGGTGCTGCATCCCCATGGCAGCCCCTCCCCATCATGGAAACCCTCCTTGCAGCCACACAAAGGGCTGTGCACACACCTCCTCTCTTGACTCCTCCTGCTCTCCACCTACTGTTTGGTCCTCTGGCCCCTGTCTAGCCACACTGTTACCACCCGCCATCCTTGAATCTCTCCTGCCACTAAGGCCACCACCTCCATGACTGTCCAGCCTCCAACTTCTGGCCTGCTTCCCACTCTCACCTAACCTCCCTCCTCAACTCGATCCCCAGCACCTACCCAGCCTCTGCCTCTGGCCTACTTCCCAGCATCGGCCCAGCCTCCACCTTTCGACTTGATGGCCAGCGTTCACCCAGCCTCCATCCACTCTCTAACCTGCTCTGCAGTGCCTGCCTAGCCTCCGCTCTCTGACTCACTCTCTGACCTAAAGCTCCCGTATCTGGCTCAAAATTCCCTCCTTCCTGTCTGTGGCCTGACTCCTCTCCCCAGCTTCGTGCCAGAACTACAAGCCCTTGAGGAATTGACAGCTGAGCTCTTGAGCTCAAACCTGTCTGCAGATCAAGCCTCATCAAGACAAAAAGGCACACCCTCACTGAAGACACCAGGAGATTCAGAGTCAGGTCCATCAGGGCTCAGACACAGAGTTCCTCCACGTCCCGGGAGCACCTCCCTCCTGATGGGCTATGGGTCTGATCCTGACACTTTCCCCCATGGTCCTTCCAGGCAGTGGTGTGGTAACCATGAGCAGAGCAGAGGCCCACTGTGTCTGGAATTCCATTCCCATTCCTGGTCCCACTGGCCTCTTGGAGCCTCAGTTTTTCTCCACAAAGCTCAGCCTTCCTCCTGCCTCCCACGGCAGGGCCCTGTGAAGAAGCAATGTGCTGGTGGAAGGCAGAGTGGAGCCCATGGGGGAAAGAAATCTGAGCATGCATGTATACTGTAGGTAAGGGCTGCTACCCAAGCCCTCCCTCTGCCATTACTACCACCACCACCATCAACATTGACATCACACTCACCACCAACACCACCATCACCACCACCATCATCACCACATCACCACCAACTACAATTTCATCGCCTTCATCAACATCACCAGTATTGCCATCATCACCATCACCATTATCACCACCACCATCACCACATCAGCAGCATCACCATCAACATCAGCACCATTACCACCACCACCATCACTACCATCAGCACCATCACCATTATCAACATTACCACCATCACCACTGTCACCATCATCACCATCAGGCAATGATCAAAGGCAGTGATCACTTGGTCCCTCAGTTCTGTGCATATTTTCCTTCTTGGAGGAAGAGATCAGGACCCAGAGGAGTTCAGCGTTGCCCAATGTCACCCAGCTGACATGGGGCAATGGTGGAAGAGTTGAGTCCCAGGTCAAGTCTGCCCATTCTCAAGTCCAAAAACCAAACTATTGCAGCAACTCCTCAGTAGGTGCCCTAAAAACAGGTTTCCCCTCCAGGCTGAGCCAAGAGGCAGTGGAGACAAAAGCTGGTCCAAACGAGACCCTCAGCCTCTCAAAGCAGTGGGAAGTCTGTCTTCCAGAGGGTTCCAGCAAGCACCAAGAGTTCTCCAGAGCTCACAGCCCTAGTACATACCTGAAGTCTGGCCTGATCAGCCAGATTGTGTGTGTGCATGTGTGTGTGTGTACATGTTTTCATAGAGCTGAACCTATTTGTTCTTCAGTCAACAACCACAAAGCAGACAACGTCACTGCTAAAACAAGCAATAAAAATCACTCAGGGAAAAAAAAATCATTCAGGGAGTATGATGAGTGCTCAGGAATCTCAAAATCAGAATGTCTTGCTCTCGTTAGAACATCCCATAA